CAACGTCTTGATCAATTTTTTATATGTCTACTGCTTCTCGCCGGTACGATATTAACATTGTAATTGTAACGTCATAACTATTATTTACTACTTACATATAATGCTGTATGTCTCCATCTTATTACTTCTATTTTTATTGTCACTTCCTAACCGTTAATTTTATAAGCCCTTACAACTTTAGGTTAGTCATATAATATATATTATGCCATAACTATATATTTTAACAATGGTTCTTTTTTAATAACGTCACTGATTGCAATGTGGTAGCAAAATTTCTTATGATCCGGCTCTGAAATACCTAGAGAAAATTTTCATATTCTTGTTCATAATTTCGCATCACTTGTGCAAAAGAACTAAATTATAATTATGAATAACTAATAGGATAATCCAATTTAATAATAATAATAATAATAATCACCATAAATAATAAGAATTATTTATAATAAGTAAACTAATGTTGAGATAATACACTAATACACTGAACCTAATAATAATAAACTAATTATCAAGAAATAACTAATGGGTGAGACCACTAATAATGCCTACTCTCGAGTCGAACTCTGATGATACAACTACTCACAATCTGTGTTATTCGACGACTTGTTACTAAATATAGGAAATGCCGTTGGGTGGGGAAGTAGGCCTGTCGGAGGCAAGGTATTCATCACTTGTACTATCTTTTGTGCTGTGAGAGCACTTTTCGACGTCCGACTCTACGGGTACTCTTTTTTCGTGTTCGTGACTTCGCATCTTGGTCTACGACTGCCGCATCGCACGACTCTTGCGGAATTTTCGTGACTTCTTCTCGACTTCGGACTTTCGGGCAGACTGGGTCGACTTCGGGCACTTTCGCGGGCATTCGGACTGGTTCGCACGGCCCGGCTGCGGACTTGGGCTCGACTGCTGGGGTCGGGACTTCGAAGACTTCGCGACTTCGACTTCGACTTTCTCGTTATTCTCTTGGTTCTGGTCGACTTCTTTCGATCTTCGATTTCTTTTCTGGTTCTTCCTTTTTGGGTCTACCCCTCTTTTTCCCAATGTTTGTCTGATCTCTTTTTCCTCGCACTCCTATATCCTGATCTTTCTCGGGTTCTGATACTTTAATACATACACTTATTCCTCTTCGACTTCGAAACATTCGACTTTACGACTACTCTTTCTTCGACTCTCGAACACTGGGTAATTCACTTCCTTTACATTTCCTCTCGGTTTTACTTCGGGTGGTCCGACTTGGGGCGACTGTTTGATATCTCTTGGGTGCGCTCGCTACACAGATCTTTGGGTTCTCTGACCTTACGGCAATTCCGACTCCGTCTCGACTCTTGCTTCTTCGTAGAGCTTTTCGACTTCTGACTACGGGCCGCTCCGAACTTCGAACGTCCTTCTGGACTTCGACCTTCGAACTTCGACTTCCGAGGCTCTTCGAACCTTTATACGGGGACTTGCCTTTCGGCCTTTTTATGCGGGCCCGTACGAACTCTTCTTTCGAGGTCCTTTTGACTTGACTCGTGTTCAGACTCGGCTCTTACTTCCGCCTGTCGTAACTGGCTAACTCGGCTATACAGCTCTGTTGCCTCGGGGCGCAGGCTTTCCGCATATTTGAATGTCCGGCCTACAAGCAGCCTTGACGTCCACGGCTATACGGCTACGACTACGGCTACCGGCTACGGCTTACGACGTTACGAACATGGACTTGGACTTGGACCTTTGGGACTTGGACTTGGATTTGGACCGCGCGACGCGACGCCTGCGTGTGTTTGTCGGGCCAGTCGGTTGTAAGCCTTCTTTCTTTGGCTTGGCGGCGCACCCGGCCCTCTTTTTTTTTGGCCGCAGAGCCCGGGCTCGCGCGAGCGACCCGCACCTGGCTCCTTGGCGCGACCGGGGTTCGGGTGCCGGGCCCACGGCCTTGGCGGTCTTAGCGGGAAACCCCGGCGCGGAAACCTTTTGGTCGTCGCGACCGCTGCCCTGTTTTTCGTGCTATTCTGTTCTTCCACTGCCGGCCCGGCGCCATGCGGCGCGGGATCATAGCGACCGCGACCGCGGAACCCTCGGGCTTTTTTGATCCCTAACTATTTTTCCTAGCCGCACGTCCCTTGTGTCTTCCGAGGGCACGTGGGCCTCACAATGTGCTACCCTGGCACGGGCTTCGTTTTACTGCGGGCAGGAGGTGTCACCTGTCTCGCGAGACGCGCTCCCTCGCGACGCGGACGCGACCGCGAGACGCGGACCGCGGACCGCGACCGCGACCCGCGACTCGCGAACGCGACCGCGACGCGACCAGCGACGCGACCGCGACCGCGACCGCGGACCGCGACCGCGACCGCGTGAACCCGCGACCGCGACCGCGACCCGACCCGCGACCGCGACCTGCACCGCGACGCGCGACCGCGGGAACCGCGACGCGAAACCGGCGACCCGGCGACCGCGAACCGCGACCGCGGACCGCGACCTGCGACCGCGACCCGGACCGCGAGACTCGCGACCGCGACCGCGACCGCGACCCGCGACCGGGCGACCGCGACCGCGACGCGCGACCGCGACCGCGACCCGCGACCGCGACGCGACGCGCGAACGCGACGCGCACCGCGACCGCGCGCACCGCGACGCGACCGCGAACCGCGACCGCGACCGGACGCGCGACCGGACCCGCGACGCGACGCGACCGCCGACGCGTACCGCGACGCGACCGGACCGCGACCGCGACCGCGACCGGCGAACCGCGACCGGGCGACCAGCGACGCGACGCGACTTCGACTTCGACTTCGACTTCGCTTTCGACTTTCGAACTGTTCGACTTCGACTTTTCGACTTCGATTCGCACTTCGACTTCGACTTCGCTGCGACCTGCGATTTTGCGCGACTGGCGACTTTGCGACTGCGCACTGCGACTGCGAACTGCGACTGCGACTTGCGACTGCGACTGCAACTTGCGAGCTTCGACTGTGGACGCGGACTGCGATGCGACGAACGACGACTGTAAACGGAACATTATCGCATTTCTTTACAAATTTGGAATCTTGTGATGAGGTAAGTTTACTGTATCAGTGAAGATTTAGTTGTACATAATTGACCCAGAATAAAATCTTATCAATGACAGTTATAGCAGATTTAATAACTGGCCTGACGAGGTTAATGTTTTACTTAATTTACTCTTACAAGCTTGGTGGATGGAAACATATCAAAAATCTAAAAATTCCCTTCCCCCCCAAAATACATATATTTTTTTAAAATTAACAAATAAATTGTAAATAGAACAAATGGCAATGGGCCTTTTACAAAGCTAAAGAGATAACTCTGAGGCTTAGACCTATTTTCATGTTATGCCTAAGGAGAGGCTATTTGACGCTAGCATCTGTTTTACGCTTCACTTGCCCATGGGTTTGGTGAGGATCAGTGTCCAATAGAGCTAATCCCTAATGATGACAGTGCTACGTCTCCCTAAACCCTTATCCCCGATTTGTTAATGATTGATATCATATCATCGGTTTTCATGCTCTGGTGGTTCTGCATTTTCAATTTTAACAATGACTTCGGAAGTATATCCTAATATATAAATGACAAAATATAAAACATTATTACCACCAATTAGTTGGCATTCACACTTACAAAGTTAAATCAAATATAATTATTTTCATTTGCTGGTGGATCTGTATTTTCAGTTTTCGCAGTGACGTCGAAAGTATCTTCCATCACTCGTTTGTGCATGGTTTGTGAACAACGTTGGCTCAGATCTCAGGTTCCTCAACACACGATGCCCGAATATTATCAATTAAACTATCGCAATAGTTGTAAAATAAATATTAGTTGAAAATGGCGCCTCGTAAAACTTTAATTACCAACTTAACAATAACATTACATTTGTGTTTTAAATGCTTTCTGAGCATATTAAAGTATTATGGTTATCGAAAGTGAATTTTAATGTACATTTCTCTAGTTTATAAATTAATAAGAGTAAGTTGTTCTTGTTAGCATTAATGTCTGGAACACAATGTTTATTGTTTTTGTGTTGGCCGTGTATTTGTACTCGAGATCAACACGAAAAACAGAAGATGGTGATCTCTATAGAGGAGGCTAAATATAACCTCTCCCAGGATATGACGGATGAAGCTAAAGTAATAAACGGCCTGCAAATGCTTTCGTTCCTTCTAATGTCATTGGCATTTACTTGACTACAGTTGATTCTTTCAGTAAATCATAGTTTACTTCGTAATTTGACGAATTGAAACATGTTGAGTTTTATTTATATAAAATTAATAATATAAATTTGTTACAATCAGGTCTTATCAGAATCATAATGATAAGTGTTAATGAAGAAGTTCGACAAAAATTAACCAGCGCTGACTATGCTGTTGCTGGTGGTGTCAGTGGTGTGGTTACAAGGTGTTCTTGTCAACCTCTTGATGTAATCAAGATCAGATTTCAGGTACCACTCAATATTCAATTATTAATATGATGGTTACCTGCTTTTAACTGTTATATATTATCAAGTTTTGTCTTTATTACAGTTGCAAGTTGAACCAATACGGAAAGATGCAGTTGGTGTCAAGTATTGGAGTATATCTCAAGCAACACAACAAATAATTAAAGATGAAGGAATTTCAGCTTTATGGAAAGGACATGTCCCAGCACAGCTACTGTCTGTTTTGTATGGTGTTGCCCAGGTTTGTACTTATATTGTTTTGTGGCATAATTTTGTCCATTTAAAAATCATACATTTTTAGAGGACTTAGTTCAGAACAATTATACAATTGCAATTACTTTTCTTTATTTATAATTTTTAATATAAATTTTATTAGTGAATTCACTCTCTTTTAGAGAGTTGTTTGTTATGAACTGGTATTACTTCAGGTCTTGAATGATTCCAACAACAAAATATACACCTGAACTGCATAAACAATATAGTTATATTTTTATTTGCTTGTGTTAAGTCTAGTTAACTAATTTAGTAAAGTCAGCATAAATTATTTTAATTACCATTAATACTGTTAAATTAAATTTTACCAGAAGACAGAAAACCATTGGAGTGATTCGAAGCAATAGTGATAAATTCACATATATGTGTTTTCATAAAAGGTTGTTTTATATATTGTTGTGTTTGATTTATTTACAGTTTTCATCTTTTGAATTTTTCTCAAAAGTTGCTTCAAAAGAATCTCAGATATCACCATTTATTCATTTTATTTGTGGTGCTTCTGCTGGGTGCTTTGCTACAGTTGCCTCTTTCCCTTGTGATGTTATTAGAACCAGATTAGTAGCTCAAGGTGAACCAAAGGTAATATCATATTGTACATCAAAATTTCTTGAAGTAGGGTTTTTGTCAGTCAGGTATTGAGGACCAAAGTGGGTTTAAATAATTTAATTTAAACACTCTTAGGCCTTTTGTTTCTAATTGAGATCGTGTCACAAAGTACATGACAGATTAAGTGTAGTGGAGCATAGTTCTGTGGCCAATAATTTAAAATTGAATCAGCAGAAGTAGAATATGAAGAAGTATCGTTTGGGGTCATTTTGGGGGAAAAGTCATTTTGGGGTCTTTTTTTTTCATCATTTTTACGCATTTTATTTCCGTTTTGTGGCCTTTGTTCGTAAATGTTCGTGAATTTACAATGACCAACTAAAGCCATTTTTTTTTATTTTATCATCAGTGTATGATAAAATTCTCTTCTATAGTGGACTGTTTTTCGAACTCTCAAAATTACATAGATCTTCAAGAACTTCCCCGACCTTTCAAAATTGATGGTTGGAAGATCAAAGCTAAAAGGATTACATTTTCCCCTAAAATAAAGATTTTATATTAAGTATAATTTGATATCAATACATTTTATTTAAAATTGTCAAATTCATTGCATAAATAAATATTTTCATATACATTTTTGAGTACTTTTAAAAAAATTATATTATTTCCTCCATATTTTTAGGTCATTTTCCTTTTCCTTTTACTTTTTTATTGTATAGGTCATTTTCAAACAAATTTTTAGATCTTTAGAATCCAAGCCCTGGTGATAATCAATGGGGAGCTAATAACCAAGAATGCACCGAACACTGGTTGCTGTAAATTATACAAATTTTTAATGAAGTTAATAATTAATTGTTTTCTAATAGAAGTTCTTAAAAATATCTAATAATACTTGTTTATAGTTGTGCAAATTTGAGATTTTAATAGTAAAGATTACAACAAAAATAATAAAACAATTTTTTCAAAGGTTTTGTTCATATTCTTTGTCTAATTATCATTAACACGTTTATAGTGCTATAATTTGTGTCATGAAAGTTGTATGGAGACATATGCTATAATAAAACAAGTTGAACTGGGCCAATAAATCTAACCATTTATTTAAAAAGGGTTGAAACAAGAAAAGGATTGGGAATCCCTGAGTTAGCCATTTGTCCAAAAGTATTGATCAAACATCTCTGGCTAGGACTGGTAGTTATGAAGACTCCAACTTCAGCAGTATCTTAAGAAATGTTAGTGCTATTGTTATTGTTCAATTTAATGTAATATGAAAACCTATTGATAAATAAATTTCACAAATTTCTAGATTAGCTAAATAATTAAAAGTTGAAACATTAAATATTTTTTACTTATATAAAGGAAATAAATTCTTCACTTTGCAGGTGTACTCAGGAATATGTGATGCAGCATTAAAGATATATACCAAAGAGGGATCAAAAGCATTCTTTAAAGGCCTATCACCAACATTGATACAAGTTGCACCACACACTGGTGCTCAATTTGCGTTTTATGCTGGCTTTAAGGAAGTGTGGAGAAAATTAGGTAATAATTTATTTTCTTGTTTTACAGTTTGTGCTGGTTATATATGAATAAAATATAGGAACTGAAACACACCAAGCTGTCTGAAAAATTGTAAATGTGTGTATTCAAAATTCTTAAAATATAATTTTTCTTTGCAGTTTATAAATATATACTGTAGATTTAAAAAACCTTTTTATTTGACAAATTCTTACAACTTAGCCCCCTCTGTTCATGAAGTTGTTGCATGGCAAATTGTTATTGAGAATGAGCACGATGTAAATGTACAATAGTGAAGAGGTGTTCTAAGGCTCCATTCTTCATCCAAATTTTTATCATTTTGATGTAAGCTGGGTGTGGTGAAAAATGTGCTGTAAAACATTTCAAGTCATTTGGAGGATTAAAAACGGCTTTGGCATGTAGTTTCAGTATCAGGAGACTTTGATATTCATATATGATTTGAATGGAATGTGATAGCAGGGTGTCTGCAGTATAGTGTTCAACTGACTCAATGTTATCTTACAAAGAAGTATTGACTTACACCGAATATACAATATTTTTATTATTTGTTGACTTAACTACTTTTCTAGCATTAACAATAGATATGTTGGATGACTTCCCATTAGGTTAATTTGATAATTTGGCATTTCATTTTGCATCATCTTTTTTACATAGTATGAAGGGTAGAAATTGACAAATTTTGTGAAAATAAAAGAATACGTAGGAAATATTGCATGTTCCTAATTGTATTTTTTCAAATGTGGTGCTGTTTTTTGTTTGTAATTTTTGAGGTTTTACTTAATTGATATTCCATCAAATACAGTTATACATTGTTTTTTAAATATTTCATGAAATTTCAATTCATAGTAAATTTTTTCTTCTTCTTTCTTTAATTAGGATGTACATTTTATGCTATTAATTTTCAGAAGGCATTATTGTAGTGGATGGTGTATGAATAGTAATTTTAGGAGGTTTACAGAAACTATTTGTAAGAACTTCAGAAGGATATGTGAATATTTGTGAAATCTGTTTGTGATATTATCTTGTAATTTCATGAAATTGATATGGGAATTTCAAAGAAGTTGTGAAAAGTTTGTTATATTAAGTCAAATGCAAAGTAAGTTTCATTAGAAAAGATATGTAATACGGAAGTTAAAGTACTATATTTTATTTTTGAATGGGTGCTTCAAAAATGTTTTGAGTGAAGAAGGTAGATTTGGGACCTTCCTGTTTGTAAGTATTTTAAGTATATTTAAATTCTAAAAATTGAAGATTCCAAGACGAGTGTTTCTTAAGCAGTTTTACACTCCAAAGATTCTTTTCTGAACATGTATTTTCAACTGTATTTTTACTGTTAATATGGATTTGTAGTAGTAATTTCTTAGTGAGCATTCTCCAATATTTAATGCAATGAAAATTTTTGAATGTTTATTAGTGACATCTTTTTTATTATTATTGATATTATTATTATTGATATTATTATTATTGTTGTTATTATTATTGTTGTTATTATTATTGTTGTTATTATTGTTGTTATTATTGTTGTTATTATTATTGTTGTTATCATTATTGTTGTTATCATTATTGTTGTTATCATTATTGTTGTTATCATTGTTGTTATCATTATTGTTGTTGTTATTATTGTTATTGTTATTATTGTTATTGTTATTATTGTTATTGTTATTATTATTATTATTATTATTATTATTATTATATTATTATTATTATTATTATTATTCTCTTTTTATATTATGAATTGTTCTTAATGACTTTGATACTTGTATTTATTTCATAGTCAGTGATGACACTATAGCCACAACTAGTTCTCTTATACCAGTATCACTTTCTGGATCTCTCATATGTGGTTCCTTGTCGGGATTGTGTGCCAAAACACTAGTCTACCCCTTTGATCTTGCTCGGAAACGTCTGCAGGTTCAAGGATTTGAAGAAGCTAGAGAGAAATTTGGGAAGGTAAATGTGTACAGCATTGAAATTAAATAGCTGAAATATGGTCCTATTTGGGGATTAACATCTTATTTTTCTTATCAAGGTTTTCCGTTGTTCTGGTTTAATGGATTGCTTATGGGTAACTCTAAAGGAAGAAAAGGTAAGGGGCCTTTTTAAAGGACTTAACCCTAGTCTTATCAAAGCTGGTACTACAACTGCCATTCACTTTTGTGCTTATGAACAGATGTGTCACATTCTAACTATATGGCATTCAAAACTCTAACAATATGTGTGTGTGTGTGTGTGTGTGTGTGTGTATGTATGTGTGTGTGTGTGTGTGTGTGTGTGTGTGTGTGTGTGTATATTACCTGATGCTCACTACCCATGCAAAATTCCATAAATTATTGTTATTGTTCAAGATTATTTTGTTATTTTTGCAAGTTTCCACTTATCTTGGACAATTGGAATTTTTAACACTGAAGGAAGAAGGGAGTCAAAGATCACAACTTCACGATTGCATCACAAAACCATTCAAATTCTGGAAATATGAAGAGAAAATATTAAAAATTAGTGAAACCTTTATTAAAAATTCTGATAGATTTCATTCTGTGTGAAAAACATTAATGTTGCCTGATGAGGAAGACCCAACCATCTTCGAAACTTTGTGAATAAACAGACACACTATAAGAGTAATGAACCTTTTTTCTTCAGTTGTTAGAAATTCTGATTGTATTTATGAAAACTTTCAAAAATAAAATGTATGCCAAATATTGTAAGTAGTAATTTATACCTAATATACAACAAATTAAGTATTGAAAATACACTCTGTACGAGTTCACATTTCTCAATGATAATTTTTGTTACAATCCTTTCTGTTTTGGGTTCTCAGTACCTTGTCTAATCTGTCTAGTCTAAACTTGTCTAATCTGAACAGAAAAAAACAACAACAACAACAACAGATAAATTCATTGTAATACGACATATTTTGGAGCCCATGTGTTCTTTTAATACATTCTTTTTGGTGGTTAAGTAAAATTTCTAGATGTGTAGATATGTATTTTAATTCTTTGCAGAAATAATTGATTGTTTTTGGAAACAATAATTACTAATATGATCTGATTAAACAGTAGAGATGCTAATGTGATTCAGAGAAAATAAAAGTATATTCTGATTAATTCTTACAGTCCAGGATAAAACCGATAAATCCTTCTTGCAATGAAATATGTAATAAGTAATTTAAAAAAATGTTTGAGGTGTGTTCAGGCACTTCAAATCAATTTTGTGTTTTCAATTGTCAACTAAAAGTATTTTTTATTGTTCCTTTTTTTAAAAAAAAGTTAATTTGTTTCTTTTTTGTACTTACACTTTTTTAAATTTCTTAAATATTTTAATAATTAAAAAAAGTGAGTAAGGAAAAAAGAGAGTAAAATATAAAATCCATTGTCTTACTTATCTAGACACTTTACCATCATTAAGAAAAAGAAGTATAAATACATGTCACCTCATGCACACTGTTCAGAATATGTTCAAAACTAAGTCTTACATAAGTAAATAGTCATTAAAATGGGTAGTAACAAAGTGGCTCTTACATATGAATTATTTGAAGTTCATACTATCAATTTCAGCAAGTCTGATTTAACTTAAGTTTTATTTTGAGTTGTTGCAATTGATAATAAAAACTTGAAATAAATGTTGCAAAGTTATATTAACTGTTTTGTACAGAAAACTGGAAAGATTTATATAAAGGTGTCTTTATCTTTCCAATCTGAATCTTTATTATTTTACAGTATTTTGAGAAAAATTTATTTTTGTGTCTCAGTGTACAAATATTTATTATTTAAGAAAGTTTTTTGTACTTGTATGTGTAAGTATAAGTATTGGTATAAAACAATTATGTACCAATTTGAATCTGTGAAAATTATTGTATTTGATAAAACATATGCTGTATGAGATTGAAGTTGATTGTTGGCATTGAAAATTTAAAAATATGTCTAGTTATCTACATTATGCCATGTAAATAATGTTTCACTCAAATATTTGAATATTTGTTTCTTCAGTTGTAATTGAAATGTAAGTTTTGTTTTTAAATTAAAAAAAAAAAAAAACGCACAGAAAATGTGTACCTTAATGTGGTATGGCATTAATAAATACATCACAAGAGTTTTTTGAGTGATAATGATTGAGACTTATATTTTGGCGATTCCTCATTTGATTTTATAACATTTGAATTATATTCTACCCATGTTTTCACCTTTCCTATTAATCTTTTCTCCTAAGTCTCTATAATTTCTAATTATTTGGGTAAAAACAACATCAAAAGATGAATCGAAAGAGATTTGTCATTTAGCAGGAATGCAATATAAAGAAATTCTAAAAAAAAATGATGAAAGTCTGCATAAAGTCCAACATATTATGACTCTTATTATGTAAAATGCTTTTGTGAAGTAAACTGCTTAGAATTGAAGATAGTGGCTTTATATGACTTGTGGGAATGTTAGGACTCCTCTCAGTAATTAGTATGATTTCAGATCTTCCTTGTTATGAGACATTACTTTACTATTAATTAGGCACTTAAACCAGAAAGGTGAAGGAGTTTCAGTGTTAAGACTGTTCTTATATTATTTAAACTAATCGAATCTGTGGGAAGGGTCAAGAAAGAACATTCACTTCATTCGTGTCTGTATATTGTACTAATTTTTGAAGATATATGTACTCACATAGGAAATATGTTTTAATCAGGTCCAATTATTTGCAAATACAAACGGGTTTCAGTAGATTTGGTTCTGTAGTCATGTTTGATAATTAACATTATCTACTGAATTTTGACTAAGGTAAATGTAGATTGTAAGGGTGGACATTTGTTCCTTATTTGGTGTGTACTCTGAATTCAGAGGTAGCACTTTCTAGAACTTTTTGCTAACATCTGCAATGCAACATTCATTGCCCAATGTTCTTGAACCTTTTCATCTCACCAACATCTCTCTTTATTTTCCTTCTAAGATTACCTAAAAGTTTCTGAATTAAGTACTTGAAATTTCCTGAGAATGTATTGTGAACATGTGACCCAGTTTTCAGTTTCCTTTCTTTATGCGTTTTAGAAGCCGTTGGATTATGTCAGTTTTGGAATTCCTTCTCGTCTGATGTTCATTTTACCCAGAAAATTTCTGAAGTTTTCCTATAGATACTTATCTGAAGTACCTCTATTCCTTTTTTACAGTTTTGAGACATCTAAAATCTTAAGAGCAAGGAGGTCTTTGTATATGGTGTGTAATGTAATGAATATAAAAAATATGTTATATAATAAATTCTTATTCTTTTATATTTTCTTGAAGTTAGTTCATATCTATTGAATAAAATTAATACACAAGTTATTAAATCAAATTAATGTTATTTTATGTGCAAGACAAACTAAAAAAAAAGTTTTAATATCAAGTTCAGTCATAAAAAAAATAAAAGCGTTAAAGGCACTTTTTATAGGAAATGTTTGTATTTCATGAAAGTAGGTTTAGCATTTCCTGTTTGTTGGTAATCTCGGTACCTAGTACATTGGAATCTTTATTAAGAAAACACCCGAGATATTTCAAATTATTCACTTTTTATAGTCTTCAATCCTAAAATTAGAAAATTATTTTATGAATTATTTTCTAATAATCAATAATTTTGCCTTTTAACCTTGATATTAAGACCAAATCATTTCCAAACATTATCTACACGATTAAAAAGTTTCTGTTCACTACTGTGACACTGTATACATACTTGTATAATGTCGGCTGTTGATAATTATGTGACCAATTATTTGAATTCTAATGTAATTCTAAAGTATACATACATTGGAATACATAATAAATTCCAAAAATGTATGTGTTAAAATGTAATTTCAACTGGAAAACAAAACCTAATTATTACAAACAAATATTTATTTTAAGAAGAAAAGTCAAAATAACCAAGTAGCATGTATTTGTTAAGTATATTAACATCTTAAAAAATCCAATCATTAATTTTCTGAATTGGCAGCATAATACTTATGAATGGCAGAGTTGTTCTTTTGCATGTGGATGAATTCTTTAATTAAAGAAACTTTTTCTGAAACTTACAATTACCTTTTTATGACTTATCTTTATTTTTAGTAAGAAGAAATTGTGAGCGTGTGATTAATATCTCTGCACTGATGTATTGATTCTTGGCACATATTTATGGTCATGGTTTGTTTTAAGTCAAGTATATTTTTGACACTAATAAACGTGTTCTATTATTTATTTTCTTCATCTTATTCAGTCTGTTGAATGTTTCATATTATGTATTTTCTTAAATCCCAAATTGTGACAGAAGGTTGACCCACTTCTGCTCAGTTTTCTTGTTCGAAGATGCACATTTTAAGACAGCTTCATGACTCATATTAAGAATATTATATCCTCAACAGGATTATACTTCTTAAACAGACCAAATAAGCAAGTTCCGATATTTCTGAATTCTAGATGTTGATTTGGCCAAGATTGCTAAGTCATGGAGCACTACTGCATGCTTATTACTTGCAACAAATAAAATCATCATCATCCCAAACATTTCATAGTCTATTCACATTGTGCAGAAAAACTAATTTGGTTGTTATAGGGTTATTGACAATTGTTTTAAAATAATTATTTGATGTTCAAAGCTATCATATCCTGTAAGTTTGAGTCCTGAGCACATTTATTTCCAGTGCCTGTAAATCTTTGAGACAATTTTATAATGAAATTATAGAAATATTGTGTATTACTTTCAGTGCCATCTGTAGGTGAAATTTGCAGAGTCTGAAATTGCTTCCAATCAGCAGACCATTGGCTACTTTTTGTAAATAAAAGTAATAAATTAATATTTCACACTTAAAAAGGATTGTAGATACATATTTACTTGTGCTGCATTAACACAAAAATTTCCTGCTTAACCTACTTCAAGCTTGAACTATTGCCTGATGAAGGCACATCATTTGCATCAGACAATGATGCAATATTTCTATAGTTACATATTGTTTTGTAAATTAGAAATGCAACAAAAAAAGAGTTTTTGCATAGTTAAGAAGGTGGGGGTGTTGATAATGTTAATGAATAAAATTTTGATTACGTGGAATCATGAGGTAAAATTTTTAACTGCTAGATCAAAATTTTTTTTTGATACTTTATTACATAGGGTGACAATGATTTAAATCAAATCATTTTTATTATCGATTTAAATCAACAAACAAATTTTCTACTTTTCATCATACTTTCCTTAAACTGCCTTTTTAATAATGCAGTAATTTTAACTGATCCAATGCACACATGAAATAATTACAAAGGTGCATGTTAGCAATCTATAACTCTAATTGAGCACTTGAAAAATAAAGTAACTTTGAATTATTAATTATAACTTAACAAAACAAGGTGTATATATATGTTTACAATTTCTTTGGTTAACTTGTTTACTCTATGTATCAATCATTTATTCTATCAACCATCAATTCCTATCAACATCATCAAAATCAAGTATGCATAAATGCAATATGCACATATACATCAACATTCATTACATGCATTGTTACGCATAATACGTGAATATTCCTATCAATCATCATCGAATATACATAATGTGTAAACTATAAACATTCCTTAATGGAAAAAATATATTGTTCTCCCAAATTAATTTTAATTTTACTATTATTTTAATATAAATACAAATAAAATATTTTGTATTATTTTGGTTTTGTAGCTTACTTATATACTCGTTAGAAATAAAATCGTATTATAAATATTTTTAGAAATTTGCTGAGAAGTACTCAACATCTGCAATCATAAATGCTTAACATAACTCTGTATTTATGACCATGTTAAAAATTGAAATGCTTTCTAATAAATTATTTTAAATAATTATAATTATCTGCTCCAAAACATCCCAAATATCAGAAGATTGTATGTCTATCCTTCGAATGTATGTCTATACTTCATGAATTAAATAAATAGTTTGTTCAAAAACTGTTATATAAATATGAATATTATTTAAATAAAAAAAATTGCAATTTACATTAATAGCATCCACGTTTTTACATATTAAAAAAGGGTTGATTATTTTCACCTTATATAGGATTAATGCAGCACTAATAAGTTCCAGTAATTTGTCATATTACCATGTTTTAGTTACTGGTCATGTTAACTCCAGCATTAAGCGCTGAAACCAACAAGCCATCAAATGAACAAGAATATTATTTAACAACAATTTTGTAAGAAATTGCCAATCTTAATATAAACAAGATATTTGTGTTAAAATCAGTTAATTAATTAGTTAACAAATTTAATTAACACATTTCGAAGTCATTAGATTTAAAATACATCATGATATTTCACCTGTTTTCAATGAGCTTTCATGATCCTAAAGGCAACATGTATATACAGAGAGAGAACAGAATACCCAGAGAGGGAGAGAGTATTAGGAGAATTTTTTTTACAGTAATAAATTATACACATTAATTAAATTTGAGTAGTTACATATACTTTTTTTTCTACTTTCCATATGATATGGTGTATCCCATATTTGTTGATAATGTTTCTTTCAGGGCTGGTTGTAATTGTTTTTCCATGTATGTTGCCAATAGTGCTTGAATTCCTTTAACAAAAACATCTTCCATTTCTCGTGTTAAATCACTGACGTATCTTCCTTGCACACTCTCATTTTCATCTAGTGCAGAATCAGATCGGTGCTCAATTCTGGGCGATACTTTGTGGCATCCTGCTGCATAAACACTTACATAGTCCGGCTCTATGAATTGTGTTTTTGTCTCAATGTTAATAGGTCCTCTCCAACCAGCATTTCTAGATCTTGTTGTCATAGTTATACCAGATTTTCGAAGTCGTAATGTCATATTACACACATCAGCTGGCACTGGTAAAAGGGGATCTTGAACCACAGCATTTTCATCATAGAGCTTCGCAATGCCAGACACAGCCAAGTCATTGAAGCCCATTCTAGTTTCAAGACTTTTATTCCGTGGGTTGAAATAGCATTGTTCTATTCGATACCATTTAGTACGTGCAGGAACATGAACTTTCATGCTTGTTACATACATGTCATAAGGTGCTGACCGTAAATGTTGATGTAGAGCATATCCTGTCAAGTCCATTACACCCATACTAGATGTAACGGGGACTGGTGCATTGACTATTTTTGAATTCTGCATGGAATCCATTGTTGCCTGAATTCGTGTGCTGCAACGTTGAGTTGATGGTGAGGGTTTCCCAATAATTCTTGGATCTAAAAAGAAATGTATTGAATATGAATATTGAAATGAAAAGTAAATAAAAGTATTTTTCTATCAATACAGTAGGCAAATAAAAACAAGTGGTGTTACAGAATGGCACCAACTTTCCCGTATTAGTTTTCTATTTCCATTGGTTTCAGCTAGCTATTCAGACTTGCCACATACTCTTGCTTGCTGCTATCTATTGCTGCCCAGAGAACATTTTAAAAACATTTTCTTAATTTTTCGACTTCGTAATTATAGAATTGAATTATTATTTTAAAAATATTAAAGAGTCCTAAATGGCAATTGTCGTTGAAAAATTTGGAGGATTATTAAGAAAATGGAATTTTAATTCTACTGTAAATTCAAAATTTGAACCTCTTTTCACAGAAACTATTGAGTTTATGAAAACCTTCATATGATGTCATTTCAAGCATTTCCAGTCACAAATGCAATAGTGTTTACAAATCACTGGAAATGTGCATATTAATGGCATGAAAAATCTTTGAAAAAAACAACAACAAATAAACATTTGTGTAATTTTAGAAAAAACAAATGAGTACACCAAAATTAAGTCTGTCATCTTAAAGAGTGCAATTAGCACTAACACGATTTTCAAAATCTTAGTTTCGACTTGAGCAAAAAGGTCGGGGGTTTGTTCAATTTGGAAAAAAACAAAACAACAACACTGTTTTAGTATTTGGAGGACCCCAAAACATGTCCATTGAAACCTCGAAATTAATTTTCCGCAGCATTACGTAACTTTCCCTATACTACTTATATTACTCCGTATAGTAGAGTACATATATGGGAAAGTAAAAATGGTGAGTCCTCAAACATTTGCAAAAAAATGTGTGTTTTGTAAGTATAGACCTGATGTAATTTAAGTGCAAGTGCACATGAGTGTAATGAAATCTTGAGATTATGAAATGCAATCGTTATAAATAATGTGGGGTTCATTTACACATGATACTTTTTACTTTTCCAGGAGATTTTTCCTTCAAATAATATTTGTTCTACAGAGTGAGTCCTTTCATTAATGTCATGAAAATTTTCAACTATGTGGCAAGTCCATGTAGTCAGCCAAGACCAAAAGAAATAGAAAACTAATACAGGAAAGTCTGTACCACTCTGTAGCACCACTAGTTCAACTTGTATTTACTGTCAATTATTTTTTAAATGATTGGAATCAACATTTTATTTACCTTTTCCAGTGAGATCAGGCAGTGTTGTTGAACTTGAAGAATAATGTGGTACAGTTCCCATGACAAGGAACACGATCCATGCATTATTCATTTCTGAATTTTCTGCCCTGAAACATAAAAATTAGTATTTTTTCCATCTTTAAAAATATATATGTGTTCTTGTTATGACTATTTTAATATTATTCACAAAATGATGGTGATTTTTCATTTGAAAATACAGTATTTCTGTGAATATGATCATTAGAGAATGATGGCTATGAATACTATTGAAAAGCATGATATTTCATGATAACATTAGTGTTATCTTATTAGTATATAATACATAACAAAGAGCTGGTTATGTGTCCAAGGATTAAGGTGCTGCAGAGTGGTTGGGATATAAGCCAAATGCTCTAGTGCTAAAGTAAACGACTGTTCGAGCCTTAACTCCGAAGACACATCTGCCTTGGTGATCTTGTCTTCCCAGGTCAGCTGGAAAAGCAAATCCATTTTCCTCTCTCTCAAAATATAGTTCAGTAAATGCACTATAAATAAAGAACTGTCTCTCCTGAAATGAATGATTTTCTACACAAAAACAATGTTCAGACTTTACTGTTTCATAACATTGCATTCTTAGTACTTAATTTCAGCTATCTTCATTGCCTTTCAGTTATCATTTATTAGATGAAATTATATTTTACCATATTTCATACATATTTTGCAGTAATATGTATTAAATTATATTTTTGTTGGATTTTTGTGTATAAATTAATGAACAAATTTTTGACACATTTGTTATTTTTATTGTTGTTTTTCGTTTAATGGTGCTTGAAACCCATCAATGTAATTATATGTCTATTGGCTAAATAAATAAATTCAACATATAAAAGTAAACACATTGTAACACTATGTCATATTTTGTTGAAGTGAAAACAGGATTTATCATTTGCTTCCTTATTCATTTTTATTCCTTAATATTCAAATATGTCGTATCCTCTTGTAACTCGTTTTCCATTTTTCAATACTTAATCTTTGGTTAATCTGTGACCACCCATATACAAAGTTTTCTCAAAATGTATTTTTAATCTTAACATGCTACATTCTTCTTCCAATTCACAAAACATATATTTCACTACTAGAAAAATAAATAAATGGATAGAAATATATAGTAATAGTAGTAATAGTAATAGTAATAGTAATAGTAATAGTAATAATAATAATAATAATAATAATAATAATAATGTTTATATATTGTTATTACTTCATATCTTTATTATATGTTTCACCACTCTTACAGTTGTCAGTTCAACAATTGGTAAAATGGTAAAATATGTCATGTAATTGCCAACCTCATGACCTTATGACCTCACAGCTAGTTAGCATGACATTGTTGTAATGTTTTGATTGTTCAAAGAATAGACTTCCAGGTAGAGAACCTGATCTCCCAGAATCCAGTTGCATAATATTTATAATTAAATTGCAATAAAATGTAAGTTATTCTTAAATTTTTGATGTAGAGGGAAAAAAAACCCAGGGAACTGTACTTTATGTAGTTTTTGTAGATATTTATTTGGTAAATATTGTGAAAACACTGAATTTGTTGATATAATGAAGAAAATAAAGTAGTCATCCTTGTTACAATGAATGAATTTTGTAATATCTATTTGCCATCATCTTTAGACTATTGAAATATACCCCATCTTGATCAAGTTTTTTGTCCAGTTTCCCTTGTCCTTTGCGCAAATGCTGAGATGGCCACTTGTTTGCTTCTGGACAATAAAAATAAATGTAACTTCACTCGCTGCTCCCAAGATGTATGCGATTGTACTCCCTCTAAATATATAATGTTTTACTCGTGATACATGATTGTAATTGTATATGTGACTCGATAAATATTATTATTATTATTATTATTATTATTATTATTATTATTATTATTATTATTATTAAAAATAAAAAATAATTTCAAATGATAAATACATAAACAAATAAAATGCATTTCATATAAGCAAAGAAAAATGTTAACGTGCTTACTAAGCAAGGTGTCAAGAATAGGCAGTGAGCACAGGCTTCTTGAGGGGCAGGAGGAGGTCAGTTCAGTTTTCCTTGGAATGGTTGTTTAGGGTGTCAGTTGGTGGGGAGGAGTGTGTTAAAGAGGGTTATCAGAGGGAATGTGGGAAGTAGGTTTGTTCATTGACAAAAATTTTAGATTTCTGAATGAATAGAAAAGGTATCTATTTAAATTTAATTTCAAGAGATCTTTTGGATGCAGGTTTTTTATTACAATTACTTTACATTTAGGCTTGACATTTGTCTCTCTCAACATTTTAAATTTATTATGCTTCACATATTATAATTTAAATTGTTTGTAATAATTACATATCTGCTTCATGCAAATGTCTTTCCTCATGCAAATTATCTAAAAAAAAATCTCGGACAGTGAAAATATAAATATTAATATCAGGTATTGTTATTTGTTGAAATGTTCTTTAATTCCATTCTTGTTTCAGATCTTTTCACCTGTTGGTGACAATGGCGTCAAATATTAAAGGAATAAAAGGTATGTTGATATTTTGATTGCTGGTGATTCCGGGCTCGTCAATTACTAAGGTCATTAGTTCCGTAAGTGTAGTGCATGATTTTGCTCGGGAGGTAGGGGCAGTGTTCCCCCGCTGTATGGCGGTCGGCTAGCGTGGTTTTCCCTACCCAGGTACCTCCCACCAGCAGGACACCGCCCCAGCCGGGACAAGCGCTGAGCTCCCGACCGGCCTCCCGGCATGTGTGCCAGTGTAGTGCATGTTAGTGTAAGTGAGTGAGGATAGGACAAGGAAGGGGTAGGGAAGATCGCTCGCGGCCCGTGGTCTGTTTGTTAGGGGACTGCTCCGGCATTTGCCTGGGGTTGATAGGTGAAACGACGCAACACTACCTACCCTAGAATTCTTCGGCAGCGACTGAATTCGACTTAGCTGACAAGTTAGTGTTGAAAATCCTGCCACCACTGCGCCTAGCACTTCCCGGTCAGATATACTGCAGTGACATCAGGTGATGCTCTGAGCGCTCTCTCCCCGTGTTTGTGTTGAGAATGAAATGTACTTTAATAATATCATGTGCTGTATCATATTCATGTACAATATATTTACGTAAAATACTTAAGTATGTTGATGTTGAGAATGTCATATTTTAATAATGTTTTATATATATATATATATTTTATGTATTGTCCATTTTGTGGATGTTCTCGCTACTGCTACCGGAAAAAGAAAGATGTTGCTCAAAAGCGGTGAATTATCGGCAGAAAAACTCATTATCGGGCCCCGGCAACTAAAAGTGTATAAATCCAGTTGCGAAATTTAGAGAAAAACAATCCTCTAACACGTAGTGTTTGATAGAATCCATGTTTTGTGGGTCCTTGATACCGTAAAATCGACTGACGGCAAAACGTCTGTCCGTCCGTCCGTGAACGTTAGCGGTTCAATCATTCAGCCGATTTTCTCCTAAATTTATATTTCCAAATCGATCTGGCTGATGTCACGGTTCTTGCCTTTGAAATGATATTTTAATTTGGGGGGGAGGTGTACTTCACAAGTACTTTAAAGAGAGATTTTGAGTCAAGGTAATGTACAATTTTTCTAAAATTTGAGTATTTTTGCGTTATTTTATGCGATAATTTTAAATTTTGTTTAAACAATTTTTTCTCAAAACCGGCTCCTTCGATTTTGATTACATTTTGTTGTTGAATAGTCTGACGGCAATTTAAGAAAATGGTGCAGATCTCCTGTTGGTGTACAACCCTGATGTATTAAAAAATGAAAAAATAAAAATTCCTACAAATACAATTATGAAGATACATTTTTTTCAATGAAATGTATTAATGAAAAATACATTTTCAAATAAGGTCAAGATCGATTTTTCAAAAACATGATTTTTTTGCGAAATCGTGTCAACAATTTTTATGTTCTTTGAACCATTTTACTTAAAAAACGCACTTTTTTGATTAAATTGAAACCTTAGATAGTATAAAGGAAGTTCAAAAGAATTGTGCAAGTCATGTTGAAATGCCTGAATATGAAAAAATAAAAAAATAAAATTGTTTTGCCTCTTCCTAGAACTACAATTGTGAAGATACTCATAATGAAATGTGTTCATAAAAAACAGATCTTCAAATAAGGTCATGCTGAATTTTTTGAAAATGTGAGTATTTCTTATGTGATTTCGCGAGAAACACAATAGCCCGCTCCCAATTGACTGCAGTTCGTCTTCGGCGTCTTTCTACAACTACAATTGAAAAAGCAAATCTTTTTGATAATGAAATGTGTTAATCAAAAATAGATCCTGAAATAAGGTCACGTTCAATTTTTTTAAAATATAAGTATTTGTGGGCTAATTTCGAGACAGAATAATGGCCAGTCCCAATTAACTGCGCTTCGTGGACATAATTCCCGACATTTAGCTGCTTCGCAAGTTCGAATTTGTATATTACATATTTCTTTGTTGATTTCGTACATTAGACCTTTTGTTATATATTTACACATTATTATTTTAGAAATTATTTAAACCGTATTTGAAATACTGCTAGCTTTCAGGGAATATCAGATTGGAATGCTACAATGACTCGACAACAAGGAGCTCATTTGTGTGAATTACGTCTTATTTTTGGGACATGATTTACCTGTATGAAAGGAGTAATAATTGTCAAATGTTTGTTGATATTTGCTTGAAAATATTTAGTTTGAACACCAAATGTATGATTTGTACTGAGCAAGATTGGGCAGTATTGAAATACTTGTATTTGAAATACGCATTTTAAATGCACTGACATGTTCATCAACGCCAGATGAATGACTGTTTTCCTTTGCAGGTTTAACACATTCGCCAACGAGGGGTGTATTGTCTGATGGTTTGAAATATACATTCATTTTAAAAGGAAATTCCATTTCTTTGTGTTAGACATCTTTGATATTTTATATTTGAAAATGTTTATTCATATGGTTAAAACACATTACAATATTTATCGTTCAGAAATTTGCATGACTGTCAATTACTAATTTACTGCAGTTGACAATATATTGTTGCAATAAAAATATATAATACATATTTACAGTATTTAGAGTACATTGTACTTCCTGGAATTAATTACGTTGTGAAACCGCTCAGCTGCTCTGATTTTTCAACAGTAGTATGATTCTGCCGCGTCGTGTGTGGAAAATGGTCTTTTGCGAGAAGCTGGCTACGAAGCCCTACACTGCCTGCGCTGCGCCCGGGAGGTGGCGCGGTCTTCCGGTCGTCTTTCGAAGCAGTTCAAAACTCCGTTCCAAAGATTCCATGCAAGAAATTAATTCTTCCTGTTTGTGAGAGAGAGCTCAAGGATTTTGGGGGGATTTGAAACTATCTCGTGCGCGTGACGTTTGAAATGTGTGCTCTTCGCTAGGAAGTTTCCCCAAAGACTGGTTATAATGGGTGTATTCGAATTACGGCGTCAAATTTGAATTTATTTGGCCGCGTATGTGCCGACAGGTTTTGAGTAACAGTATAATCTTTTATAAAAATATTTGAAATAAAAAATATACA